TATCTACGCGCTCTGCCCTGCCTGGCGCACCAGTGCATCTACGCTGACCCTCCTTACATTTTCCCCGGCCGCAGCATGAACTACTATGGTACGCGAGGGGGCCACGACCTGGTCTTTCACACGGAGCTGCGAGACGCACTCTTCGCGAGCGGCCTGCCCTTCGTCGTCAGCGTCAACGACGTGCCGGAGGCCCGGGAGCTCTACAGCGGGGCCGACTCCATCACGAGCCTGTGCTCGGGGAAGAAGCTGCTGGTAGTGCACCGCGCAGGAATGGGAGCAATCCTGTGCCCAGCGCAGGATTCAGGGGGGGCAATCCTGTTGCCACAGCAGGATTGAAGGGGCATTCCTGTTGCCACGCCAGGATTGACGGCAGGGCGTGATGGTGAGAAAAAACACTATGTCAGCGGTACCGCGAGGACAGCAGCGCTGACGGACCTTCGGCGCTGGCCCGGTGATGGGTTTTTTGGGCTGAAAACCAACTCCGGAAGCGAGGCGCTCCCCATCGCATTGCGTCCGGAGGATTTTTCGTGCAAAATCGGAAGCTGGAGCAAAGTCGGATTTCCGACCTCGCTGAGAGACCGAAGTCGGATTTCCGACTTCGGTGAAACAATCCCGACCTCGGGCTCGGCAGGGCTCCGATGCCGGGCAGGTGGCGCGGCCGGGTGGCGCGCTAGGTATCGAAGCCGTTGGGCGAGCCATCAAACGAGGTTGGGCGAGCCAGTACTAAGGGGCCGTTGGGCGAGCCCGTGCTCATTGGGCGAACCCGTACTCATTGGGCAAGCCATCAAACGAGGTTGGGCGAACCCGTACTCATTGGGCGAGCCATCAAACGAGGTTGGGCGAGCCAGTACTACGTGCTGCGCCTGCGCGGCGTCAAAAGTGCCCGCTTGGCTACCCAGCGCACGCCACTTGAACAGTGGCCTGCCACTTTCACAGTGGCCCCCTCCACTTGAACAGTGGCCTCCATGCCACTTGTACAGCGGCCGCCACTTTCACAGTGGCCAACGCCTGCGCCTGCTTGGCGCTGTGCCTGCTCGGCACTACCTACAGGTGCCTGCTCGGCACGTCTACTTAAGTGCCTGCTCGGCACTGTGCCTGCTCGGCACTGTGCCTGCTCGGCACGTTTAGTTAAGTGCCTGCTCGGCACTGTGCCTGCTCGGCACGTTTAGTTAAGTGCCTGCTCGGCACTGTGCCTGCTCGGCACATTTAGTTAGGTGCCCGCTCGGCACCGCCCCACCTGCGAAGTTCTCCAGGATGTCCGACCTACGTACGGCAGCCTGACAGGAAAAAAACCGGGGAGGGGGGCACTTTGGGGTTGAACCACATGCACATGACATGCAAAACCGTGCGAAAAACCAACATGACAGGTTCAAAATCATGCAAAAAACAAGCTGTTCCACGTGTCATGCAAAAAAACAAGCTGTTCCACATGTCATGCAAAAAAGCAAGCTGTTCCACATGTCATGCAAAAAAGCAAGCTGTTCCACATGTCATGCAAAAACCATGCAAAAACCATGCAAAATGCGGCGCGTGCGGAGCGCCAACCCGCCGAACCCTCACAGTCCCCCGCGTCCTTGCTATATGTGCTATATGTGCTATATCTCACAAGGCAAGCCACTGAACATCCACTCTCCCCGGGTTCCTTGCTATATGTGCTATATGTGCTATATCTCACAAGGCAAGCCACTGAACATCCACTCTCCCCGGGTTCCTTGCTATATGTGCTATATGTGCTATATGGCCCTATATAGCACATATAGTACAGATTTTCGCGCGTACAGAATATATAGCACATATAGTACATATAGCAAGGAGCTGGGGGAGAGTGGGGGTTCAGCGGCTTGGCGTGTAAGATATAGCACATATAGCACATATAGCAAGGAGCCCGGGGGAGAGTGGAGGTTCCGCGGCTTGGCGTGTAAGATATAGCACATATAGCACATATAGCAAGGAGCCCGGAGACTGTGGGGGTTCAGCGGCTTGGCGCGGCTTCAATGCCGGGCAGGCTTCGACACCGGGCTTCTATACCATATAGCACATATAGCACATATAGCAAGGATCTGGGGGAGAGTGGGGGTTCAGCGGCTTGGCGCACTCTGAATCAAATCGTGGGGGGAGTTCAATGCAGGGATCTGCAGGGAATCCCTGCATTCCCGGTATCTCTCTCTTTAGAGGGCGTTTCCCAAATGGATTCTATTCTACCTGAGAGGCTCCCAGCGCTCGTCCGTCCAGCATTTGACCTCGTCCTGCGAAGGATTCGAAGTCTAAAACGCTGCGTGGAGGCGTGTGGCTGCAAAATAATGACCCCTAGATATGCGCCGCAATTTGGCTCCAGGTTGCATTTCAAGCGATGTCAAGCTTTGCCAAAGGAAACCCCTTTTCCCTTTTTTTCGGGGACCCCTTTTTTTGGGACCCCTTGTTTTCTTTTTTTGTTTTTTTCTTAGCCCTGCAAAGGTTGGCTCGCTTGAAATGCAACCTGGAGCCAAATTGCAAGCATATCTAGGGGTCATTATTTTGCAGCCACACGCCTCCACGCAGCGTTTTAGACTTCGAATCCTTCGCAGGACGAGGTCAAATGCTGGACGGACGAGCGCTGGGAGCCTCTCAGGTAGAATAGAATCCATTTGGGAAACGCCCTCTAAAGAGAGAGGGCCATCGCCGGGCCACTGCCGAGCCACTGCCGGGCGGGCCACGGGCTATCGTTGTACCAAACGTGGCCACATGCGCGCTTTTGCCATCTGGCAGCCATATGGCAAGGTGTCATTTATATCGTCGATTCGAACGTCTGAAAGCCAGCTGTTCCACTCCCCCGTTAGAGCAAGCTCTTCCTCGCAAGTACACCGCAACCTTCGGCCCTGTGATCCATCATCACCGTTGTGGCGATCATCAGCATCATCGTCATCGTCATGGTTGTCATCCGTTATGAAAAGACCGCGCGCGCAAAGGCTTCACCATGACCATTGGAGATGACCTCTGCAAGGGCTCGAAGCATCACTTCGCTGGGCATTGTACGCAGACTGAGAATGACATTTTTGTCAAGCGCGCTCCCGCCCCCGCACACACATGTTGGCGCACGCCGCGAAAATTCCCCGTGCAAACGTGTCAGCGAAATGACAAGCGCGCCCGCCGCAGGGATTTGCCGCCGCGCGTTCTTGTTGATGTTATTTCGCTGTGTGTTTGCATGTTTATGCGCTTGGCGCAATTGGGTGGTGTTAGCATGTTTATGTGTTTCTTTGTGTGTGTGTGCGTGCGCGCACGCACTTTTTCAACTTTGTCCGTAACTCATCTTCAAGAAGCCCTCCCAAACTGTCGTGGCGCTGACGTTTATCCCCAGCATCTTTGTGCTTTTATGTGTTTCTATGTGTGTGTGTGTGTGCCCGCATGTAGTTTTTTCAACTTTATCCGCAATTTACCTTGAACGACCCGCAAAACACGCGTGGTTAAAAACCGTAGTTTCGTGGCGCTGACGTTTAGGTTGTTGTTGTTGTTGCTGCTGCTGCTGTTGTCGTTGTTGTTGTTGTTGCTGCTGTTGCTGTTGCTGTTGCTGTTGCTGTTGCTGTTGCTGTTGCTGTTGCTGTTGCTGTTGCTGTTGCTGTTGCTGTTGCTGTTGCTGTTGCTGTTGCTGTTGCTGTTGCTGTTGCTGTTGCTGTTGCTGTTGCTGTTGCTGTTGCTGTTGCTGTTGTTGTTGTTGTTGTTGTTGTTGTGGTGGTTGTTTGGTTGTGTTTGTTGTGTTGTTGTTGTTGGTTGTTGGTTGTTGGTTGTTGGTTGTTGGTTGTTGGTTGTTGGTTGTTGGTTGTTGGTTGTTGGTTGTTGGTTGTTGGTTGTTGGTTGTTGGTTGTTGGTTGTTGGTTGTTGGTTGTTGGTTGTTGGTTGTGGTTGTTGGTTGTTTTGTTGGTTGTTGGTTGTTGGTTGTTGGTTGTTGGTTGTTGTTGTTGTTGTTGGTTGTTGTTGTTGTTGTTGTTGTTGTTGTTGTTGTTGTTGTTGGTTGTGGTTGTTGTTGTTGTTGTTGTTGTTGTTGTTGTTGTTGTTGTTGTTGTTGTTGTTGTTGTTGTTGTTGTTGTTGTTGTTATTGTTGTGGTTGTTGTGTTGTTGTTGTTGTTGTTGTTGTTGTTGTTGTTGTTGTTGTTGTTGTTGTTGTTGTTGTTGTTGTTGTTGTTGTTGTTGTTGTTGTTGTTGATGTTGATGTTGGTGGTGGTGTGGCTGTGTTGGGGCGTTGTTGTTGTTGTTGTTGTTGTTGTTGCTGCTGCTGCTGCTGCTGCTGCCGTTGCCGTTGCTGTTGCTGTTGCTGTTGCTCTTGTTGTTGCTGTTGCTGTTGTTGTTGCTGTCGCTGTTGTCGTTGTTGTTTTCGTGGTTGTTTTTTTGTCCTTGTTCTTGTTCTCGTGCTTGTTGTTGTGATCATCCTAGTTGTTGTTGTGGTTGTCGTCGTCGTGGTCGTCGTCGTTGTCGTGTTGTCGTTCAAACTACCGTAACCCGACAAATTCAAGTTGTAACTAGTTTCGGAAACATATATTATTTGCCTTGACAGGGGAGTCCTTGCTTTCAATGTTTTGACTTTCCCAACTCCCCCAACTCATGAGGGAATGACAAGAATAAAACAAATTGGATTGACATGGCACGCCTGGATCGATTGCAGTACATCGAATCTGAAATGAAACAGAATACGGGCATTTGCTCATTGGGGGAGGGAATGCCTTTGGAATACATGTGAAGTATGTGAATTGGGCATTTACTTTGCCACAAGGCGCAGGCGCGCACATTTTGGCAGCTCATTTGCTTGATTGCGTTGCGTGGTCTAAACCACTTGAAATGTGGCTCAGTTGTTTAACTTTACATTGCGCGAGCCCTGGGTGTTTTTGCTGCTACGTGAAAATTGTGTTAACCAAAATCCCACATGTGCCATTTGGTCACATATGGCAAACGGAGGTGGACAGACTTTCTTTCGGAGGCGCGAGGTCACTTTATATTTTCCCAGCTTGCTCAGATGGAATTGCTTTGATCCCAGCCTTGGCTGCCCAGAGATGTGGCAAATGTAGTGAATTTGATGCAACCCCGGTTTTGCAGACAGCGCCAATGACAGGACTGGCAGTCTCGACAGTGTGCACACCCATGCTTCTTATGTCTTCGTAGGATTTAGCTCCGCACCAAGCAAATTGTGTGTGCGCCTTGCAGGACACGATGCGCCGCTCAAAATCCTTGAGCTTAAGCCAGCCTGATGCTTAGGGGGATGGGCGTTTGACCAGAGTGCCCAAGAGCAACAGAACCAGGTGGTCCCTGTTTCTGGTACAACAGTGTCTGCCTAAGTGTTGGAATGCTGGTCTGATTTTGTGTCGTACTGCACCTGTGGGCTTCCCTGGGAACATGTCGTAGTGCGATGGCTCGGTTGAGAAGCCCAGGAGTCTTCGGAAGTGGAAATCCTCACGGACAATCTTGCGCAAATCTGCGGCTCGGCGCGACGAAAGATGCTACAACTGGTGTGTGCTGGTGTCCCAAAGCACAACAGGGAAATCGCAAGGGAACCAGAACACGCAAGGGGCAGTGCACATCTGATAGAACTTCGGCTAGCCCCCCAAATCAACTCCCCAATACACCTTTTGAACAACTGTCGTCTTAGTGGTTTCTAAGAGGGTGTGTTTGGGGGGGGGGCTTGGACACTGAAGGGGTAGTGGGCCCGTCATTCAACAGGCATTTGGATCAGCATTGACAGAGCACAGGCCCAACAAATCAACGGAAGTAATTGCAAACGTTTGATCATATATGTATATAGTGCTCTGTATGAATGTGTTTATACATATAATATGTGTATGTATGTAGTGTAACGTAATGCAGTGTAGTGTAATGTATTGGAAGGAAAGGCAATGTAAGGTAAGGTAATGTAAGGGAAGGTAAGGAAGATAATGCAATGTAATGTGTATGTATATGTATACATATGTATACATATGTATACATATGTATACATATGTATACATATGTATACATATGTATATATGTATATGTGTATATATGTATATATGTATATATATATATATATATATGTGTATGTATATATGTGTATATGTGTATATGCGTGTATGCGTGTATGCGTGTATGTGTGTATGTGTGTACATATGTATATATGTATATATGTATATATGTATATAGATATGTAGATATGTATATATGTATATATGTATATATGTATATATGTATATATGTATATATGTATATGCGTATATGCGTAGATGCGTAGATGCGTACATGCGTGTATGTGTGTATATATGTACATATGTACATATGTATATATGTATATATGTATATATGTATATATGTATATATGTATACATGTATATATGTAAATATGTATATATGTATATATGTATATATGTATATATGTAGACATGTATATATGACAATGTGAAAATATGAACATATGAAAATATGGTCCCGTGACCAGTGATTGCGGTCCCCCCCCCACCCCCTGTCCCATGGTATGGGGGGGGCTGCGGTGTGGGGGGGGGGGGGTCCGTTCAACAACATTGGCCCTATCGGCAAATAAACCCTCTTTTGCTGGCAGGGCGGTGATTTTGCTTCTATTCGGAGAGCTGTTTTTCGTGGCCCTGTCGTGGTTTCGGGCCGTGAGCCCCCAAGAACTCGTGTTGTTTTTGCAGTTCTCAAGCTGCCTAATCGACCCTCTACGGACTTTCGCGTGGTCCTCTCACTGCAGCACGGTGCTCATTGTCTGGAAGCTGGAAACCCTAAACCGTTGCCGAGCCACTGGGATTTGCTCTCAAATACTTCTCACCCCGTCCCGGGCAACTCTGCCTTCTCAGCCCTGCTTCCTATGAAAACTCCTCTTAGAACGCTCTACTGCCGACGTTTTGTTCCTCCAGATCCTAGGCGGTGGTATTGAGTAACGGTTAGTTGCTCGGACAGCGTAAGACCTGGTCGCACCACCCAGGTACCCCAGGTACCACCGGGACCGCACTAAGCCGTCCCGTGGAAACCTCAAAACCGTGCGACTGTTCCTCCAGATCCAAGCTCGGGGGACCCTTGACACTTGTTTTTGCATCACTTTGTAAGCCTTGGACAGAACGTCTGGATCGGGTTCCCCGAAAATGCACCCGATGCTTGCAACAGAAGTCACCCACGATTCGACAGGCGAGGGGGGAGCCCGGGGGGGGGGACCCGGGGACCATAGACACTGGACTATATATGTACATGTATATACATCTCTTTCTTGTTGTCAAAACTAGTTGTATCCCTTGACATGGCTGGTTTCATAATGACTCACGTGCTTTTTGCTAGAATTCCCAAACAGACCCATGTTACAAGCTTTTTGAGGGAAACGGACTCTTCGTTTCGTAGGGGATGGGGGTTTTGGTCCAGGCACGAACCTCGAAGACTGCGGCGCCGGCTTTGTGTCCATCATCGCGGTGATGGGCACGTGAGCCGCTTTGGGAGATTTTGATGGTTGTTTTCCCTGGTTTGCCTTGAAACTCCGGCAAGAGCTTGCGGATCCCATTCTTTTCGACGAGGTGCACGCTTTTATTTGTTGGAAGGCCTCCTTTGTTGCCACCACGACTGAGGAGACAAGTCGTTTTCGGCAAGTCGTTTTCGGTAGGTACAGGACTGGCAAGAGCTTTCTGCTGGACCTGCTGGCCCGCTACTTGACCGAGAAATCGGCTCAGGTTGCAGAGGTGGGGAGGGCATGGGGTGTTGGGGTGGGAGTCCGCCGGTCGGCAAAAATGGGCGGGGGGCTCGCCAGGCGGAGCGGGAGAGGGAGAGGCAGGAGGCTGCCCTCGAGCCGGGCGCGAGAGTCCGGAGCCTGGCAGAGTCGGTGCCTCGTTTCTTTGGAAGGAAATCCGTTTTTGGGAAACCAAGAGAGACCATCCTTTAAGGAGTTCCCGCATTTTGAGACAACACACAAGCGTGGCAACAGTCTCCTTGTGTTTTCCCGACCCAACAGGGGCTCGGAAGCCATTTAAAGCAAAATTCCAGATTTGGAGAACGGAGGGGCATCGCTTTGGGAAGCCAGGACACCGGCGAGTTGCCGGAATACATCCCCTTTACACACATGGCTTACCGATCAGGTCCCCTCTCCCTCCGCTCCTTTGATAGATCCAGGTGCCGCCCAAGCCCGTCAGCAGCCGGCGCCCCGGAGCGTCCATCAACGTAGCTGCGAATGCACGTGCGACACCGGGGGAGGGTGACAAGGGTGTGACAGCTGGACAAACTTGACGTCTCACACAAAATATCATCCAGAGAGTAAGGACCTTGCTTTGGGGACAGATCCTTGTCTTCCCACACAAGGCTTGACAAAGTCAGGAGGGAGAGGCATGTGGGCTTTCGGGTTGGCTGCCGTTCCAGTGCAAGCGTTGCACATTCCGACGTGCGTGCTGAAGTGGAGCCTGTGCAATGGAGGCTCAAGGGGCAATGGCATGGCTCGGTGGGGTGGTCAAACAATTCCAGGAACTTCACAGATTCACAAATGATCACAGATATGTGGCGCTTGATATGGATGCAGAGGCTAGCCTTCTAGGAGAAGGGAAGTTGGTTTTTGGGAACGCTCATCTTGGGTCCATGAGACAAACCCACATATCACCACAGGTTGTGGGGTTGTGATTCAGTGCAACAGATGGGCCCAAGTGGCCTGTCAGCTTTCTTTCGCAGCCATTGGTTGTTGCTTCCCTCCAGGCTGGGACTCGACTGCTTTCCAAGCACTTGCTGCATAGAAGCTGACGATCGGAGGGTTTTTGGAAGACCACGGTCCGTTTTAATGGGCTTCTATGATTGGAAAGAGGGTAGGTGTGCCAGCGAGGTTCGAGCAGAATAGGCATATGGACGGCACCACTGCCAATTTCCAGCACCGGCCGGTCATTTCTCTTCAAAACTGGCAACTGCAGATTTCGCCTTGCCGCAGCTCAAGCGAGAAGCAACTAGATGCTTGAATCGTGAGCGAATCCCTTCCACTGCCCGTAGCATGTCCAGTATCAGCCAGACCCTCCACGCAGACATAACAAACTCCCTTTGAGCACATCACCGGCTGGAGCACATCACCCAATCACATTAAAAAATGCAAGCGAATTAATCTTGCTCTTGATTTCTTGGAACATTGTCTTTGCAGGTGTTCAAAAGCTGACATACCAAGGCTCCCAGGGTTTTGGTCTCTGCTCAATAGATCCTCGACTTGCTGCCAAGCGGTTGACGCGGGGGTGAGGCACGATGCTTTGTTGGGAGTCGGCCTGGTCCACAAAAATACCTTCTCCTCCGCTATCATGGCACCTGACAGGGGATCTCTTCAGGAATTGGATCTTCCAGGTACCCTTTTTCCGGGTGCCATGTTAGCGGGGAGGGTATATCAAAGTTAAGGCATCACGCCGCTGTCGGTTTCCTTTGGGCCATTTTGTTTTGATGTTGTTCCGCGACTCCGGTCGTTGCTTCGAGACTTGCTTTGCCTTGAGGGTCCCTGCCATCCCCACCGGTGAATCGAGCGCCCAGAACTGAAGCCTTTGGCCAGTGTAGGCTCCCCAAAAAATGGGGCAACGCCCGAAACCGAAACATATCTTGGAGCCCAAAGTCGGGTTTTTGGAGCGCTCATCGGCAGAGTTGCGCAATGCTATGCGAATGACGGCGAAGGAAGGCGGCGAAAGGCATGCGAAGCGCGCCTTCCCAACAGCGCTCGTCACCGTCCAGCGCGGGTCTGTTTGTGTGTCTCTGTGCATGTCTATGTCTGTGCTTGTATTTTGTGTATCTGCTTGCGTCTATCTGTGACTGTGTCAGGCGTTTCTGCATCTCTGTCTGTGTCTGTCCGGGCGTCTCTGCCTGTTGACGTTTGTATGTCCCTCTCTCACTCTCGCTCAGCCTCTGTGTCAGTGTCTGTTTGCGCCTGTCTGTTGTATTTTTGGTCATCGCCCATGAGCTATGAGAAGATACGTCAAGCAGCAGAGCGCTTGCTGAGCAAAATGGAAACGGTTCACCTTGAACATGAAGCACATACTGTCGTTACATTCACGGTTTAGCAGATTCGATTGGGGGGGTGACTCCAGTTTATTTGGTTTAGGCGTTTGCAGCTCAAGACATTTCGCTCCACGACGTCATCATGGTGCCCGTACTTCTTGCCGTGTGTTGCATGCTCGCTCATGCTCAACTGGACATTCCCGAATGGGACGAGGTCACTTCACAGGACGAGAACGTCTCCGCAGACGAGAAGCTGGACGTGCTCAATGCGTCGAGCTGGGCCATCCCAGACCGAGTGGTGAGGTGCCCCGTCCACGAGCCGGCAGCGCTGAACGTGGCCGCCGGCCACGTGGAGATGGACACCGTCTTCAACGAGAGCATGATGTACAGCCTCGTGGAGGGTATGTTGCCCACAGCCGCCGCTTCTGCGGATTTGGCGAGGTATGATGGCCTCGAGATGCACTTCTTCAACACGAAGGTCAGCCACTTCAAGATCCGGCTGAACGATAGGCAAGATGTGCGGTTCATCGCGGCCGTGAAGGTGGACAACGACGGCGAGCACAACCTCTGGTTGAAGTGGAGCGACTTCCACGGCGAGGAGATCATGATGAGGGGCATCAGGCCCTGCAGCGAGAGCTCCGACTGCCGCAGCATCAGGCTGTGGCTCCAAAAAATGTATGGAACCAAAGACTAACACCTGTATAACCCATCAGGCCAGCCCTTTCATTTGGAGCAACCATCAGGCCCGGCTCCATCTCCTCCATCGCCGTGCTGCTGCCCATCTCCAGCGTGGAGAGCCCGGCCAACTTCCGTGTCACCGCCCTGACCCTGGATGTCTTAGCCAGCGGCGGCGGCAACGCCACCAACTCCACGCAGCTGCGGCCCTCCTCCGACGCCGAGTCCATCTCCTTCGAGACCACCATGGGGCCTGACAGCATGGTGAGCTTCGCCTTTGGCGCTAGCCTTTCAGGTCTGATCTTCGGCCTCCTCTTTTTTTGAGCGTGTAGCTCCCTTGTCACTGTTATTTCCTGGAGCGCCTCCGTGTGGTGACTAAGTCACTTGGAAGGAGTTTTCGGCTCTGCGTGGCAACTTCGTCCACACCACCAGACCCACTGCAAAGGATGAGTCGACCCCTCCGGCTTGAGCTGGGCTTGCAGGAAGGCAGGTGTTCTTTGGTCACCAAGATATTTGCCATTGGATCGCTACCTTCTTCTTGTTACCGGACGCTCCGGGACTTGTTTCATTGGCAAAGGCCTTTATAAGTGTCCGAGGACTGAGGCGTTTTGATACGGACTGCCAGACATGATCTCAATGCCTTATCTAGGTCCCCAGTAGTGCCTTTTTTTTTCCTTTTTCTTTTTCCGGGTTTGCCCTTATTCTAACCTCTCTACTCGAAGAGCTAGTTATGCTCATTATCAACTCTTTGATAGGCCTTTTAGACAACCATTGCAGAAGGGCTTCGGTTTCCGAGATGACCTGTTCTGCCGCCCCATCTAAGCTGGGTGCTCCAGATCCGCACGTTTCCTTCCGTGTGGTTTTGAGAAGAGCCAAGGTGAGCAGCGGTTGAGTCAGTTTCACAAACATTGAGTTGAGTTTCCTTTTTTTTTTGTTAACTATCACTTTTGTGTTACTTTGCAATGCTATATTTTTCACTGTTCATTGCATGACATTGCGTTACATTGCGTTACATTGCGTTACATTGCGTTACATTGCGTTACATTGCATTACCTTGCATTACATTGCATTACATTGCATCACATTACATCACATTACATCACATTACATTGCATTCCGATGCATTCCATTTTCATGACATATGATAACATTTCATGACATCCGTACAATTACAGTACATTAGACTACATCAACGCATAAAACACAACACACTACATCATTGCATCACATTAGACTGCATTGTATTGCATTGGACTGCATCATTGATGCTACCTTGCATACATTCATGCATGTTTTCGTCTACACACACTGTGCTGAATACATGTAGTACATAATAATTTCCGCATGATTTCACATGCATACGAACATGCATATGCGGACAGATTGAGGGAACCTGGGAATGCATAGGCTGATTCAGCGCAGAGTCAACTTGTCCACGGCTTTCCGTGGCTTGGCAGGCCCCCGCTTGGGCGACCGCTTGGGCGACCGCCTGAGCGCTTGGCTCGTCGCAAGTTCACGGGGAGTCGAAGCCCCTGAGAATTGAATGCCGCAAAGTGGATGCTTAAACAGTACTTTGGTGCATTTTGCTTGGATGTTAGGACTTTAACTTTTTGCCAACTAATGGGTTTTCCATTAAACCACTAAAAGTTGAACTTTTAGCAGGGAAGCAGAAAGCCACCGAGATTACTGGCTCGACCATGCTTGACGTCAAGCCAGGGGCCGAACCCTTCTGTGACGGTTTTGTGAGAACGTGAAAAAGCGACCGGCTGCCAACCCTTGCATGGCTTCCCTTGGCATCGGCCTGTCTTTCATTGAGCCGCCAAGGGCGAACACCCCAACAGAAACCCCACCCCCAACTACCTTCCGAACGAGCGGTACCTTCAAAAACCACCGGGCATGGTTTTGACATGGTGGATGTCAGTCGAGGTCAGATAAACGAGCGCCAATGGGGAACACTGCCTGCAGCGCTGCACTCAGGGATGTGATTGACGCGTGCACGCATTCAAGCCATAAGCCGGCAAGGTCGGTTTCTCAGGCAGGAGTTCCCAGTTTTTGGCCCACCCACTTGTACCATCGCCTCGGGAGCCCAACAAAGACTGGCAGTGAAAGCCAAGTGCAGTGACTGACATGCAGCGACTGACATGCGGTGAAGTGCACAGGCTGCCAATCTGTGCCCGTTCAGCCCGGGAGAAAGGCGCACCGCAGTGCGGTTCGACAGAGTGTTGCACCCTGCAACCTGGCCCAATCCCCACCACCTCAAATCCCAACTGCTCAACCCCCACCCTCTCCGTTTCAACCCCACATTCTTTTTTTTGCAAAATAATACAATGAGCCTCGGGAAATTCCTGGGTCTTCTCTTTTCCATGGAGAACTGGACCACATCTTGCCATCTTTTTTTCTCGGAGAAGGCTGGGACCACCCCTTGGCCATTTGCGTGCCGGACGCCAGGTGAGGCCCATCCTGGAGCTTCTGAAAGCGGGGGGCGGCGTGGAATCCTCGCCGGAGTCGTCTCAG